ACCCACCGTGATGATGATGAGAGAAATGCAGACTCCACATATACAGCAGCAGGCGTCAGGATCGAACCCACGACCTCCTGTATACCAGGCGAGGTAGTTAACATCGCCTAGCCACCGTGATGATGAGAGAGAGACACACAGACCTGTAAACCAGGCGAGGTAGTTAACATTTCCTAGCCACCGTGATGATGATGAGAGAGACGCAGACTCCACAAATACAGCAGCAGGCATCATCAGGGTCAGGATCGAACCCACGACCTCCTGTATACCAGGCGAGGTAGTTAACATCGCCTAGCCACCGTGATGATGATGTGAGAGACGCAGACTCCACATATACAGCAGCAGGCGTCAGGATCGAACCCACGACCTCCTGTATACCAGGCGAGGTAGTTAACATCGCCTAGCCACCGTGATGATGATGTGAGAGACGCAGACTCCACATATACAGCAGCAGGCGTCAGGATCGAACCCACGACCTCCTGTATACCAGGCGAGGTAGTTAACATCTCATAGCCACCGTGATGATGATGAGAGACACAGACCTCCTGTAGACCAGGCGAGGTAGTTAACATCTCCTAGCCACTGAACCCGGCGACCCGAGTTCGATTCCCGCTCACGGCCACCAACATCGGTGACGATTATCTAAGGGGCCGTCCATAAATGACGTCACGCACCTGGGGGGGGGGGTCAGACATTTGTGACGATGTGTGACGAGGGGGGGGGGGGTTTCAGAAATGTGACGTCACATCAAAATGCGCAACTTTATAAATAAATATAGACAACACGTTCTACTTAATTAAATAGATATAGTAATAGGTTTTACCCTTTTAGCTGGCACAAAAACTGACACCTTTATTCAAGGCATCGTGTTTGCAATAACCACAACACAAGCAGTCAAAATGCAAACAAAATAGACAACTGATAATAATAATATGCACTGTCCTTGAATTTGATTGGGATAAATATTTTCTCCTACAACATCAGAGTGCAGCGCCACATTAAATACGCACTACTACAATGACAATAGTTTAAAGAGATTTGAAGCATGTTATATATTATTTGTGGGGGGGGGGGGGGGGGCAGAGCTTTGTGACGTCATATTCGAGGGAAGGGGGTCTGACTTTTTGTGACGCAGTGTGACGTCATTTATGGACGGCCCCTAAACCGGTTCTGGGTCGACTCCGCCTCAAATGAGTTACCTGGTGCGGTGCGTAGTGAACATCGCCACTGGGGGAGACAAAGGCGGCCGGGCGTGGTGGTGCTGCTAGCCACCCACCCCCCTCGTGTGCCACAGTGCCGGTAGCCTTCATAAGGTGCTGCTGCTGCTGCTCGCTGACAGCGCTTGGCCCCATCCTCGGGGGAGCCACAGGACCGGTTCAGATAATCGTCATCGGTGTTGGTGGCCGTGAGCGGGAATCCAACTCGGGTGGGCCGGGTTCGTAGCGCGGCGTAGCGCTAACTGTTGCGCCACCGCTCCCAAACAGACACACACAGTGACACAGACACCCGTAATCTACCCATCCCACTCACAGCAAACATAGACAAAGATCCCCCGTGTAGCCTCCAACAGACTGTCGGGGCAAGTGCTGCTGGCGAGTAGCGCTCACCTCGACTACACTGGTGCTACCCCAGTCAACCACTCACTCACCCACTCACTCACCCACCCACTCATCCACCCACTCACTCACCCACTCACCCACTCACTCACTCACCCACTCACTCACTCACCCACTCACTCACTCACCCACCCACTCACTCACCCACCCACTCACTCACCCACCCAGTCACCCACTCACTCATCCACCCACTCACTCACCCACTCAGTCACCCACCCACTCACCCACTCACTCACCCACCCACCCACTCACTCACTCACCCACCCACTCACCCACCCAGTCACCCACTCACTCACCCACCCACCCACTCACCCACCCACCCACCCACTCACCCACCCACCCACCCACTCACCCACCCACCCACTCACTCACTCACCCACTCACTCACCCACTCACTCACTCAGTCACCCACTCATTCACCCACTCAGTCACCCACCCACTCACCCACTCACTCACCCACCCACCCACTCACCCACCCACCCACTCACCCACCCACCCACCCACTCACTCACTCACCCACTCACTCACTCACCCACTCATTCACTCACTCACTTACTCACTCACTTACTCACCCACCCACTCACCCACCCACCCACCCACTCACCCACCCCACTCACCCACCCCACTCACCCACTCACTCACCCACTAACCCACTCACTAACCCACTAACCCACTCACTAACCCACCCACTCACTCACCCACTTACCCACTCATTCACCCACCCACTAACTCACCCACCCATCCACTCACTCACCCACTCATTCACCCACTCAACTCACCCACTCGCTCACCCACCCACTCATTCACCCACACACTCACCCACCCACTTACCCACTTATTCACCCACCCACTAACTAACTCACCCACCCATCCACTCACCCACTCACTCACCCACTCATTCACCCACTCACTTACCCACTTATTCACCCACCCACTAACTCACCCACCCATCCACTCACTCATTCACCCACTCAACTCACCCACTCGCTCACCCACCCACTCATTCACCCACACACTCACCCACCCACTTACCCACTCATTCACCTACCCACCCACTAACTCACCCACCCATCCACTCACCCACCCAGTCACCCACTCACTCACCCACCCACCCACTCACCCACCCACCCACCCACTCACCCACCCACCCACTCACTCACTCACCCACTCACTCACTCACCCACTCACTCACTCACTCAGTCACCCACTCATTCACCCACTCAGTCACCCACCCACTCACCCACTCACTCACCCACCCACCCACTCACCCACCCACCCACTCACCCACCCACCCACCCACTCACTCACTCACCCACTCACTCACTCACCCACTCATTCACTCACCCACTCACTCACTTACTCACCCACTCACTCACTTACTCACCCACCCACTCACCCACCCACCCACCCACTCACCCACCCCACTCACCCACCCCACTCACCCACTCACTCACCCACCCACTCACTCACTCACCCACTCACTCACTCACCCACTCACTCACCCACTCACTCACTTACTCACCCACCCACTCACCCACCCACCCACTCACCCACTCACCCACTCACTTGCCCCACTCACCCACTCACTCACCCACTAACCCACTCACTAACCCACTAACCCACTCACTAACCCACCCACTCACTCACCCACTTACCCACTCATTCACCCACCCACTAACTCACCCACCCATCCACTCACTCACCCACTCATTCACCCACTCAACTCACCCACTCGCTCACCCACCCACTCATTCACCCACACACTCACCCACCCACTTACCCACTTATTCACCCACCCACTAACTAACTCACCCACCCATCCACTCACCCACTCACTCACCCACTCATTCACCCACTCACTTACCCACTTATTCACCCACCCACTAACTCACCCACCCATCCACTCACTCACTCATTCACCCACTCAACTCACCCACTCGCTCACCCACCCACTCATTCACCCACACACTCACCCACCCACTTACCCACTCATTCACCTACCCACCCACTAACTCACCCACCCATCCACTCACCCACCCATCCACTCACCCACCCATCCACTCACCCACCCACTTACCCACTAATTCACCCATCCACTAACTCACCCACCCATCCACTCACTCACCCACTCATTCACCCACCCACTCATTCACCCACCCAACTCATCCACTCACTCACCCACCCACTCATTCACCCACCCACTAACTCACCCACCCATCCACTCACCCACTCACTCAACCACCCATCCACTCACCCACTCACTCACTCAACCACTCACCCACCCACTTACCCACTCATTCACTTACCCATCCACCCACCCACCCATCCACCCACTCACCCACTCATTCACCCACCCACTCACCCACCCACTCACTCATCCACTCACCCACCCACCCACTCACCCCACCCAGTCACCCACCCACTCACCCCACCCAGTCACTCCCTCACCCACTCACTTACCCACTCACCCACCCACCCACCAACTCACTCACCCACCCACTCCCCCACTCACCCACCCACTCCCCCACTCACCCACCCACTCACCCCACCCGCACTAGACAAAGACAAAAGCGCCCCGTGTAGCCTTGGACAACGCTGTTGGGGCAAGTGCTATTGACGAAGGGCGCTGACCCCAACTACCCTGGCGCAACACCCAGTCAACCACACCTACTCACCCACTCACTCACCCACACACTCACCCACTCACTCACCCACTTACCCACTCGCTCACTCACTCACCCACTCACTCACCCACTCACTCACCCACTCACCCACACACTCACCCACTCACCCACTCACTCACCCACACACTCACCCACTCATCCACACACTCACCCACACACTCACCCACTCACTCACCCACACACTCACCCACTCACTCACCCACTCACTCACCCACTCACCCACTCACTCACCCCCTTACTCACCCACTCACTCACCCACTCACTCACCCACCCACTCACTCACCCACCCACTCACCCACTCACTCACCCACCCAGTCACCCACCCACCCACCCAGTCACCCACCCACTCACCCAGTCACCCACCCACTCACCCACTCACTCACCCATCTACTCACCCAGTCACTCACCCACTCACTCACCCATCCACTCACCCAGTCACTCACTCACTCACCCACCCACTCACTCACCCACCCACTCACCCATCCTCACCCCCTCGCTCCCACCCACCCAAGCCCTCTACCCACCCCCTCCCCCACCCACCCCCTCCCCCACCCACCCTCACCCCCACCCACCCCCTCCCCTTGTCACCCTCCCCCCCACCCCCTCCCCCACCCACCCTCACCCCCACCCCCTCCCCCCCCACCCACCCTCCCCCCCACCCCCTCCCCTTGTTACCCTCCCCCCCACCCACCCCCCTCAATCCTCGCGGCATCGCGGGAGGCGATGGCGGCACTCGCTGGCACTTCCTCGGCATCTCTCACCACCACCACCTCCACCTCATCTCACCACCGCCACCACCACCACCTCATCATCATCATCCTCATTGTCACAGCCCTGACGCTTTCTCCTCTGTCACAGTCCCTGGCCCCACCACCACAACCACAACCCCCACCATCACCACCACCACCACCCCCGTCATCATCTCGCTGCGTCGACGCCGCCACGCGTGTCCCCAGGAGGTGTCAGCCCGACTTCGAGAACGCCGCCTACGGCCGCGAGGTCATCGCCTCGGCCACGTGCGGTGTCTCCAGGCCCGAGGAGTTCTGTCCGCAGCCAGGCAGCCCTTCGCTGCTGCTGCTGCTGCGGCGGCGTCAGCAGCAGCAGCAGGATCAGCAGCAGCAGCAGGATCAGCAGCAGGATCAGCAGCAGCATCAGCAGCAGCAGGAGGAGCATCAGCAGCATCAGCATCAGGGTGGTCAGCGCAGCGATGAAGTCGCGAGAAGACGCTTGCAGTGTCAGGTGTGGGTCGCTCGTGTGTTGTGAGTGAGTTGTGAGTGTGTTGTGGGTGTGTTGTGTGTGTTGTGGGTGTTGTGAGTGAGTTGTGAGTGTGTTGTGGGTGTTGTGAGTGTGTTGTGGGTGTTGTGGGTGTTGTGAGTGAGTTGTGAGTGTGTTGTGGGTGTTGTGAGTGTGTTGTGGGTGTTGTGAGTGTGTTGTGAGTGAGTTGTGAGTGTGTTGTGGGTGTTGTGAGTGAGTTGTGGGTGTTGTGGTTGTTGTGAGTGAGTTGTGAGTGTGTGTGAGTTGTGAGTGTGTGTGAGTTGTGGGTGTTGTGGTTGTTGTGAGTTGTGAGTGTGTTGTGGGTGTTGTGAGTGTGTTGTGGGTGTTGTGAGCGTGTTGTGGGTGTTGTGAGTGTGTTTTGGGTGTTGTGAGTGAGTTGTGAGTGTGTTGTGAGTTGTGAGTGTGTTGTGGGTGTTGTGAGTGTGTTGTGAGTGAGTTGTGAGTGTGTTTTGGGTGTTGTGAGTGAGTTGTGAGTGTGTTGTGAGTTGTGAGTGTGTTGTGGGTGTTGTGAGTGTGTTGTGAGTGAGTTGTGTGAGTTGTGAGTGTGTTGTGAGTGTGTGTGAGTTGTGAGTGTGTTGTGAGTGAGTTGTGAGTGTGTTGTGGGTGTTGTGAGTGAGTTGTGAGTGTGTTGTGGGTGTTGTGAGTGTGTTGTGAGTGAGTTGTGAGTGTGTTGTGGGTGTTGTGAGTGTGTTGTGGGTGTTGTGAGTGTGTTGTGGGTGTTGTGAGTGTGTTGTGAGTGAGTTGTGAGTGTGTTGTGGGTGTTGTGAGTGTGTTGTGGGTGTTGTGAGTGTGTTGTGAGTGAGTTGTGAGTGTGTTGTGAGTGTGTTGTGAGTGTGTTGTGGGTGTTGTGAGTGTGTTGTGGGTGTTGTGAGTGTGTTGTGGGTGTTGTGAGTGTGTTGTGGGTGTTGTGAGTGTGTTGTGTGTGAGTTGTGAGTGTGTGTGAGTTGTGGGTGTTGTGGTTGTTGTGAGTGAGTTGTGAGTGAGTTGTGTGTGAGTTGTGAGTGTGTGTGAGTTGTGAGTGTGTTTTGGGTGTTGTGAGTGAGTTGTGAGTGTGTTGTGAGTTGTGAGTGTGTTGTGGGTGTTGTGAGTGTGTTGTGAGTGAGTTGTGTGAGTTGTGAGTGTGTTGTGAGTGTGTGTGAGTTGTGAGTGTGTTGTGAGTGAGTTGTGAGTGTGTTGTGGGTGTTGTGAGTGAGTTGTGAGTGTGTTGTGGGTGTTGTGAGTGTGTTGTGAGTTGTGAGTGTGTTGTGGGTGTTGTGGGTGTGTTGTGGGTGTTGTGAGTATGTTGTGGGTGTTGTGAGTGTGTTGTGGGTGTTGTGAGTGAGTTGTGAGTGTGTTGTGGGTGTTGTGAGTGTGTTGTGGGTGTTGTGAGTGTGTTGTGGGTGTTGTGAGTGAGTTGTGGGTGTTGTGTGTGAGTTGTGAGTGTGTTGTGGGTGTTGTGAGTGTGTTGTGGGTGTTGTGAGTGTGTTGTGGGTGAGTTGTGAGTGTGTTGTGGGTGTTGTGAGTGTGTTGTGGGTGTTGTGAGTGTGTTGTGGGTGTTGTGAGTGTGTTGTGAGTTGTGAGTGTGTTGTGGGTGTTGTGAGTGTGTTGTGGGTGTTGTGAGTGAGTTGTGTGAGTTGTGAGTGTGTGTGAGTTGTGAGTGTGTTGTGGGTGTTGTGAGTGAGTTGTGAGTGTGTTGTGAGTTGTGAGTGTGTTGTGGGTGTTGTGAGTGTGTTGTGGGTGTTGTGAGTGTGTTGTGGGTGTTGTGAGTGTGTTGTGGGTGTTGTGAGTGTGTTGTGGGTGTTGTGAGTGTGTTGTGGGTGTTGTGGTTGTTGTGAGTGAGTTGTGTGTGTTGTGAGTGTGTTGTGAGTGAGTTGTGAGTGTGTTGTGGGTGTTGTGAGTGTGTTGTGGGTGTTGTGAGTGTGTTGTGGGTGTTGTGAGTGTGTTGTGGGTGTTGTGAGTGTGTTGTGAGTGAGTTGTGAGTGTGTTGTGGGTGTTGTGAGTGTGCTGTGGGTGTTGTGAGTGTGTTGTGGGTGTTGTGAGTGAGTTGTGTGAGTTGCTCGTGTGTTGTGAGTGAGTTGTGAGTGTGTTGTGGGTGTTGTGAGTGAGTTGTGAGTGTGTTGTGAGTTGTGAGTGTGTTGTGGGTGTTGTGAGTGTGTTGTGAGTGAGTTGTGAGTGTTGTGTGTGAGTTGTGAGTGTGTGTGAGTTGTGGGTGTTGTGGTTGTTGTGAGTGAGTTGTGTGTGAGTTGTGAGTGTGTGTGAGTTGTGGGTGTTGTGGTTGTTGTGAGTGAGTTGTGTGTGAGTTGTGAGTGTGTGTGAGTTGTGAGTGAGTTGTGAGTGTGTGTGTGTTGTGGGTGTTGTGAGTGAGTTGTGAGTGTGTGTGAGTTGTGAGTTAGTTGTGGGTGAGCTGTGAGTGTGTTGTGAGTGTGAGTGTGTTGTGGGTGTTGTGAGTGTGTTGTGGGTGTTGTGAGTGTGTTGTGGGTGTTGTGAGTGAGTTGTGAGTGTGTTGTGAGTGTCTGTGAGTTGTGAGTGAGCTGTGGGTGAGCTGTGGGTGTTGTGGGTGTTGTGAGTGAGTTGTGAGTGTGTTATGAGTGTGTGTGAGTTGTGAGTGAGTTGTGAGTGAGTTGTGGGTGAGCTGGGGGTGTTGTGGGTGTTGTGAGTGTGTTGTGGGTGAGTTGTGAGTGTGTTGTGGGTGTTGTGAGTGAGTTGTGAGTGTGAGTGAGTTGTGAGTGTGTGTGAGTTGTGAGGGTGTTGTGAGTGAGTTGTGAGTGTGTGTGAGTTGTGAGTTAGTTGTGGGTGAGCTGTGAGTGTGTTGTGAGTGTGTTGTGAGTGTGTTGTGGGTGTTGTGAGTGTGTTGTGGGTGTTGTGAGTGTGTTGTGGGTGTTGTGAGTGAGTTGTGAGTGTGTGTGAGTTGTGATTGTGTTGTGGGTGTTGTGAGTGAGTTGTGAGTGTGTTATGAGTGTGTGTGAGTTGTGAGTGAGTTGTGGGTGAGCTGTGGGTGTTGTGGGTGTTGTGAGTGTGTTGTGGGTGAGTTGTGAGTGTGTGTGAGTTGTGAGTTAGTTGTGGGTGAGCTGTGAGTGTGTTGTGAGTTGTGTGTGTTGTGTGTGTTGTGTGTGTTGTGAGTGTGTTGCGGGTGAGTTGTGAGTTAGTTGTGGGTGAGTTGTGGGTGAGTTGTGAGTGAGTTGTGTGTGAGTTGTGAGTGTGTTGTGTGTGAGTTGTGTGTGTTGTGAGTTGTGGGTGTTGTGTGTGAGTTGTGTGTGTTGTGAGTTGTGGGTGTTGTGAGTGAGCTGTGGGTGTTGTGAGTGGTGTGAGTTGTGTGTGTTGTGAGTGTGAGTTGTGGGGGTTGTGAGTGAGTTATGGGTGTTGTGGGTGTTGTGAGTGAGTTGTGGGTGCTGTGAGTTGTGTGTGTGAGTTGTGGGTGTTATGAGTGAGTAGTGGGTGTTGTGTGTGTGTGAGTTGTGGGTGTTGTGAGTGAGTTGTGGGTGTTGTGAGTGTTGTGGGTGTGAGTGAGTGTGAGTTGTGATTGAGTTGTGGGTGTTGTGAGTGTGTGAGTTGTGTGTTTGTGAGTTGTGTGTGTTGTGAGTTGTGGGTGTTGTGAGTGAGTTGTGGGTATTGTGAGTGTGTGAGTTGTGCGTGTGTGTTGTGAGTTGTGGGTGTTGTGAGTTGTGGGTGTTGTGGGTGTTGTGAGTGTTGTGTCTGTGTGTGAGTTGTGTGTGTTGTGAGTTGTGGGTGTTGTGAGTGAGTTGTGGGTGTTGTGAGTGTTGTGAGTGTGTGTGTGAATTGTGGGTGTTGTGAGTGAGTGTGAGTTGTGGGTTTTGTGAGTTGTGAGTGTGTGTGAATTGTGGGTGTTGTGAGTGTGTGTGAGTTGTGTGTGTGAATGTGTGTGTGAGTTGTGTGAATGTGTGTGTGTGTCTATGTAAGGGTGTGTGCGTATATGTGTCTAAGTGTATGTGTGTCTATGTAAGTGTGTGTGTCTATTTAAGGGTGTGTGTATGTGTGTCTATGTATGGATGTGTGTGTGTCTATGTAAGGATGTGTGTATGCGTGTGTGTATCTAAGTGTGTGTGTGTCTATGTAAGTGTGTGTGTGTCTATGTAAGTGTTTGTGTGTGTCTATGTAAGGATGTGTGTGTCTATGTAAGGATGTGTGTGTGTGTGTCTAAGTGTGTGTGTCTATATAAGTGTGTGTGTCTAAGTATGTGTGTCTATGTAACTGTATGTGTGTCTAAGTGTGCCTAAGTGTGTGTGTCTATGTAAGTGTGTGTCTATGTAAGTGTGTGTGTAAGTGTGTGTGTCTATGTAAGTGTGTGTGTCTAAGTGTTTGTGTCTATATAAGTGTGTGTGTCTAATTATGTGTGTCTAAGTGTGTGTGTGTCTATGTAAGTGTGTGTGTCTATGTAAGTGTGTGTGTCTATGTAAGTGTGTGTGTGTGTCTAAGTGTGTCTAAGTGTGTGTGTCTATGTAAGTGTGTGTGTCTAAGTGTGTGTGTCTATGTAAGGGTGTGTGTCTAAGTAAGTGTGTGTCTAAGTGTGTGTCTAAGTGTGTCTCAGTGTGTGTGTCTATGTAAGGGTGTGTGTGTGTCTAAGTAAGTGTGTGTCTAAGTGTGTGTCTAAGTGTGTCTCAGTGTGTGTGTCTATGTAAGGGTGTGTGTGTGTGTCTAAGTAAGTGTGTGTCTAAGTGTGTGTCTAAGTGTGTGTCTAAGTGTGTCTAAGTGTGTGTGTCTAAGTGTGTCTAAGTGTGTCTAAGTGTGTGTGTCTAAGTGTGTCTAAGTGTGTGTCTAAGTGTGTCTAAGTGTGTCTAAGTGTGTGTCTAAGTGTGTGTCTAAGTGTGTCTCAGTGTGTGTGTCTATGTAAGGGTGTGTGTGTGTCTAATTAAGTGTGTGTCTAAGTGTGTGTCTAAGTGTGTGTCTGGTGTATTCACTTTGACCTGTGGGGTTCAGGGAAACGTTCAACGAGGAAGAGACCCTCAGAGAGGGCCGCGTCTCACGCACACACACACACAAAGACAAAGTTCCCCCGTGTAGCCTGTACCAGACTGTAGGGGCAAGTGCTGTTAGCGAGCACCTATGAAGGCCGGCACGGCACACGAGGGGGTGGGTGGCCATCACCACCCCCGGCCGCCTTTGTCTCCCTAGTGGCGATGTTTACACATCACACTGGGTACTCATTTAAGGCTGAGTCGACCTAGGGGAGGCCTAGGACCGGTTCAGATAATCGTCACCGGTGTTGGCCGTGAGCGGGAATCGAACCCGGGTCGCCGGGTTCGTAGCGTAGCGCTAACTACTACACCACCGCTCCCCACACAGACACACACAGACTCGCCACACAGAGACCCACAGACTCACCACACAGAGACCCATAGACTCACCACACAGATACCCACCCCACAGACTCACCACACAGATACCCATAGACTCATCACACAGAGACCCATAGACTCATCAGACAGAGACCCACAGACTCACACAGAGACCTATAGACTCACACAGAGACCTATAGACTCACCCACACAGAGACCCATAGACTCACCCACACAGTGACCCATAGACTCACCACACAGAGACCCACAGACTCACCACATAGAGGCCCACAGACTCACCACACAGATACCCATAGACTCATCACACAGAGACCCACAGACTCACTCGCATAGAGACCCATAGACTCACACAGAGACCTACAGACTCACCCACACAGACCCATAGACTCACCACACAGAGGCCCATAGACTCACCACACAGAGACCCATAGACTCACACAGTGACCCATAGACTCACCACACAGAGACTCACAGACTCACCCACACAGAGACCCACAGACTCACACAGAGACCCACAGACTCACCCACACAGAGACCCACAGACTCACACAGAGACCCATAGACTCACCCACACAGAGACCCACAGACTCACACACACAGAGACCCACAGACTCACACACACAGAGACCCACAGACTCACACACACAGAGACCCATAGACTCACCCACACAGAGACCCACAGACTCACCCACACAGAGACCCATAGACTCACCCACACAGAGACCCACAGACTCACCCACACAGAGACCCATAGACTCACACAGAGATCCATAGACTCACACAGAGACCCATAAACTCAGAGACCCATAGACTCACACAGAGACCCATAGACTCACACAGAGACCCATAGACTCACACAGAGACCCATAGACTCACACAGAGACCCATAGACTCACACAGATACCCATAGACTCACACAGAGACCCATAGACTCACCACACAGAGACCCATAGACTCACACAGAGACCCATAGACTCACCACACAGAGACCCACAGACTCACCACACAGAGACCCATAGACTCACACAGAGACCCATAGATTCACACAGAGACCCATAGACTCACACAGAGACCCATAGACTCACACAGAGACCCACAAACTCACACAGAGACCTACAGACTCACCACACAGAGACCCATAGACTCACCCACACAGAGACCCATAGACTCACACAGAGACCCACAGACTCACACAGCGACCTACAGACTCACCACACAGAGACCCACAGACTCAAACACACAGAGACCCATAGACTCACACAGAGACCCATAGACTCACACAGAGACCCATAGACTCACACAGAGACCCATAGACTCACACAGATACCCATAGACTCACACAGAGACCCATAGATTCACACAGAGACCCATAGACTCACACAGAGACCCACAAACTCACACAGAGACCTACAGTCTCACCACACAGAGACCCACAGACTCACACAGAGACCTATAGACTCACACAGAGACCTATAGACTCACCCACACAGAGACCCATAGACTCACCCACACAGTGACCCATAGACTCACCACACAGAGACCCACAGACTCACCACATAGAGACCCACAGACTCACCACACAGATACCCATAGACTCATCACACAGAGACCCACAGACTCACTCGCATAGAGACCCATAGACTCACACAGAGACCTACAGACTCACCCACACAGACCCATAGACTCACCACACAGAGGCCCATAGACTCACCACACAGAGACCCATAGACTCACACAGTGACCCATAGACTCACCACACAGAGACTCACAGACTCACCCACACAGAGACCCACAGACTCACACAGAGACCCACAGACTCACCCACACAGAGACCCACAGACTCACACAGAGACCCATAGACTCACCCACACAGAGACCCACAGACTCACACACACAGAGACCCACAGACTCACACGCACAGAGACCCACAGACTCACACACACAGAGACCCATAGACTCACCCACACAGAGACCCACAGACTCACCCACACAGAGACCCATAGACTCACCCACACAGAGACCCACAGACTCACCCACACAGAGACCCATAGACTCACACAGAGATCCATAGACTCACACAGAGACCCATAAACTCAGAGACCCATAGACTCACACAGAGACCCATAGACTCACACAGAGACCCATAGACTCACACAGAGACCCATAGACTCACACAGATACCCATAGACTCACACAGAGACCCATAGACTCACCACACAGAGACCCATAGACTCACACAGAGACCCATAGACTCACCACACAGAGACCCACAGACTCACCACACAGAGACCCATAGACTCACACAGAGACCCATAGATTCACACAGAGACCCATAGACTCACACAGAGACCCATAGACTCACACAGAGACCCACAAACTCACACAGAGACCTACAGACTCACCACACAGAGACCCACAGACTCACCACACAGAGACCCATAGACTCACCCACACAGAGACCCATAGACTCACACAGAGACCCACAGACTCACACAGCGACCTACAGACTCACCACACAGAGACCCACAGACTCACACACACAGAGACCCATAGACTCACACAGAGACCCATAGACTCACACAGAGACCCATAGACTCACACAGATACCCATAGACTCACACAGAGACCCATAGACTCACACAGAGACCCATAGACTCACACAGAGACCCACAAACTCACACAGAGACCTACAGTCTCACCACACAGAGACCCACAGACTCACCACACAGAGACCCATAGACTCACACAGAGTCCCATAGACTCACCACACAGAGACCCATAGACTCACACAGAGACCCATATACTCACCACACAGAGACCCACAGACTCACCACACAGAGACCCATAGACTCACACAGAGACCCATAGATTCACACAGAGACCCTCCACCCCCCCCACCTGCCCAGGTGTGTGACGCCCGCGTGCCCGAGCTGAGCCACGGAGCGGAGTTGATGACGGACTTGGGTGGCGAGGGTGGTGAGGGTGGCGAGGGTGGCGAGGGGGGTGAGGGGGGTGACACGTGGTGGCAGAGCCCCACGATGCTGCACGGCACCGGGCAGGAGGGGCACCCCACCACGCTCACCCTGCAGCTGGGTGAGACGCCCTGCACAGTGAACCCTGCACCCTGCACAGTGAACCCTGCACAGTGCACCCTGCACCCTGCACAGTGAACCCTGCACAGTGAACCCTGCACAGTTCACCCTGCACCCTGCACAGTGAACCCTGCACAGTGAACCCTGCACCCTGCACAGTGAACCCTGCACAGTGAACCCTGCACTCTGCACAGTGCACCCTGCACCCTGCACAGTGAACCCTGCACAGTGCACCCTGCACCCTGCACAGTGAACCCTGCACAGTGAACCCTGCACCCTGCACAGTGAACCCTGCACAGTGAACCCTGCACTCTGCACCGTGAACCCTGCACCGTGAACCCTGCACCATGAACCCTGCACTCTGCACCCTGCACCGTGAACCCTGCACTCTGAACCCTGCACCCTGCACTCTGCATCCTGCACCCTGCACCGTGAACCCTGCACCCTGCACAGTGAACCCTGCACTCTGAACCCTGCACAGTGAACCCTGCACTCTGAACCCTGCACTCTGAACCCTGCACTCTGCATCCTGCACCCTGCACAGTGAACCCTGCACCCTGCACAACAAACCCTGCACGATGACAAAACCGAGTAATATAAATTGTTGTTGTCATGCGTAACCTCGCGACTGTTAATGTTTGACGTGCGAGTTCGCGACATGGCCGTGATGTAAGCGTGTAACATGTTACACGCGCAGAACGTGTGTGTGTGTTACATGTTACACGCGCAGAATGTGTGTGTGTGTAACATGTTACACGCGCAGAACATGTTACATACACACGTTCTGCGCGTGTAACATGTTACACGCGCAGAACGTGTGCGTGTGTTACATGTTACACGCGCAGAACGTGTGTGTGTGTAACATGTTACACGTGCAGAACGTGTGTGTGTAACATGTTACACGTGCAGAACGTGTGTGTGTAACATGTTACACGTGCAGAACGTGTGTGTGTAACATGTTACACGTGCAGAACGTGTGTGTGTAACATGTTACACGTGCAGAACGTGTGTGTGTAACATGTTACACGTGCAGAACGTGTGTGTGTAACATGTTACACGCGCAGAACGCGTGTAACATGTTACACACGCAGAACGTGTGCGTGTGTTACATGTTACACGTGCAGAACGTGTGTGTGTAACATGTTACACACGCACAGAACGTGTGCGCGTGTAACATGTTACACGCGCAGAACGTGTGTGTGTAACATGTTACACGCGCAGAACGTGTGTGAACGTGTGTGTGTAACATGTTACACACACACGTTCTGCGCGTGTAACATGTTACACGCGCAGAACGTGTGCGCGTGTAACATGTTACATGCGCAGAACGTGTGTGTGTAACATGTTACACGCGCAGAACGTGCGTGTGTGTAACATGTTACACGCGCAGAACGTGTGTAACATGTTACACACGTTCTGCGCGTGTGTAACATGTTACACGCGCAGAACGTGTGTGTGTAACATGTTACACACGTTCTGCGCGTGTGTAACATGTTACACGCGCGCCGAACGTGCGTGTGTCAATCCTACTGCCGGATGCTGTTCTGTTCTGTGGGTCTCTGTGAGACCCATACTCACAGAGACCCATACTCATAGAGACCCACAGAGACCCGTACTCACAGAGACCCATACTCATAGAGACCCACAGAGACCCGTACTCACAGAGACCCATACTCATAGAGACCCACAGAGACCCATACTCATAGAGACCCATACTCATAGAGACCCACAGAGACCCATACTCGTAGAGACCCATACTCATAGAGACCCACAGAGACCCATACTCATAGAGACCCACAGAGACCCATACTCATAGAGACCCACAGAGACCCATACTCATAGATACTCGCAGAGACCCATACTCACAGAGACCCACAGAGACCCATAATCAGAGACCCATACTCATAGAGACCCATACTCATAGAGACCCACAGAGACCCATACTCATAGAGACCCACAGAGACCCATACTCATAGAGACCCACAGAGACCCATACTCAGAGACCCACAGAGACCCATACTCACAGGGACCCATACTCAGAGACCCATACTCAGAGACCCACAGAGACCCATACTCAGAGACCCATAGAGACCCATACTCATAGGGACCCACAGAGACCCATACTCACAGAGACCCATACTCAGAGACCCATACTCAGAGACCCACAGAGACCCATACTCAGAGACCCATAGAGACCCATACTCATAGGGACCCACAGAGACCCATACTCATAGAGACCCACAGAGACACATAGAGACCCACAGAGACCCATACTCATAGAGACCCACAGAGACCCATACTCAAGAGACCCACAGAGACCCATACTCATAGGGACCCACAGAGACCCATACTCACAGAGACCCATACTCAGAGACCCATACTCAGAGACCCACAGAGACCCATACTCAGAGACCCATAGAGACCCATACTCATAGGGACCCACAGAGACCCATACTCATAGAGACCCACAGAGACACATAGAGACCCACAGAGACCCATACTCATAGAGACCCACAGAGACCCATACTCAAGAGACCCACAGAGACCCATACTCATAGAGACCCACAGAGACCCATACTCATAGAGACCCACAGAGACCCATACTCATACAGATCCACAGAGACCCATACTCATAGAGACCCACAGAGACCCACACTCATGGAGACCCACCGAGACCCATGCTCATAGAGACCTACAGAGACCCATACTCAAAGAGACCCACAGAGACCCATACTCAAAGAGACCCACAGAGACCCACACTCATAGAGACCCACAGAGACCCATACTCATAGAGACCCACAGAGACCCATACTCATAGAGACCCACAGAGACCCATACTCAAAGAGACCCATACTCATAGAGATCCACAGAGACCCACAGAGACCCATACTCATAGAGACCCACAGAGACCCATACTCAAAGAGACCCACAGAGACCCACACTCATAGAGACCCACAGAGACCCACAGAGACCCATACTCATAGAGACCCACAGAGACCCATACTCATAGAGACCCACAGAGACCCATACTCAAAGAGACCCACAGAGACTCATACTCATAGAGACCCACAGAGACCCACAGAGACCCACATAGACCCACAGAGACCCATACTCATAGAGACCCACAGAGACCCATACTCAAAGAGACCCACAGAGAGCCACACTCATAGAGACCCACATAGACCCATACTCATAGAGACCCACAGAGACCCACAGAGACCCATACTCATAGAGACCCACAGAGACCCATACTCAAAGAGACCCACAGAGACCCACAGAGACCCATACTCATAGAGACCCACAGAGACCCATACTCAAAGAGACCCACAGAGACCCATACTCAAAGAGACCCACAGAGACCCACACTCAAAGAGACCCACAGAGACCCACACTCATAGAGACCCACAGAGACCCATACTCAAAGAGACCCACAGAGACCCATACTCAAAGAGACCCACAGAGACCCACACTCATAGAGACCCATAGAGACCCATACTCATAGAGACCCACAGAGACCCATACTCATAGAGACCCACAGAGACCCATACTCAAAGAGACCCACAGAGACCCACAGAGACCCATACTCATAGAGATCCACAGAGACCCATACTCATAGAGACCCACAGAGACCCATACTCAAAGAGACCCACAGAGACCCATACTCATAGAGACCCACAGAGACCCATACTCAAAGAGACCCACAGAGACCCACACTCATAGAGACCCACAGAGACCCATACTCAAAGAGACCCACAGAGACCCATACTCAAAGAGACCCACAGAGACCCACACTCATAGAGACCCATACTCATAGAGACCCACAGAGACCCATAGAGACCCATACTCATAGAGACCCACAGAGACCCATACTCAAAGAGACCCACAGAGACCCATACTCATAGAGATCCACAGACCCATACTCATAGAGACCCACAGAGACCCACACTCATGGAGACCCACAGAGACCCATACTCATAGAGACCCACAGAGACCCATACTCAAAGAGACCCACAGAGACCCATACTCAAAGAGACCCACAGAGACCCATACTCAAAGAGACCCACAGAGACCCACACTCATAGAGACCCACAGAGACCCATACTCAAAGAGACCCACAGAGACCCATACTCAAAGAGACCCACAGAGACCCATACTCATAGAGACCCACAGAGACCCACACTCAAAGAGACCGACAGAGACCCATACTCATAGAGACCCACAGAGACCCATACTCAAAGAGACCCACAGAGACCCATACTCATAGAGACCCATAGAGACCCACAGAGACCCACAGAGACCCACATAGACCCACAGAGACCCATACTCATAGAGACCCACAGAGACCCATACTCATAGAGACCCACAGAGACCCATACTCATAGAGACCCACAGAGACCCATACTCAAAGAGACCCACAGAGACCCATACTCATAGAGACCCACAGAGACCCACATAGACCCACAGAGACCCATACTCATAGAGACCCACAGAGACCCACAGAGACCCACAGAGACCCACAGAGACCCACAGAGACCCATACTCATAGAGACCCACAGAGACCCACAGAGACCCATACTCAGAGACCCACAGAGACCCATACTAATCGAAACCCACGCAAAAAGTGAACTTTTTATTTTACAAAGTAAGGCTCCACTAAGCTACGTCGCTCCTATTCAGAAGCCACCTGGCCACCACGAACGATTTCTCAACAAGGCGGCTTATCACCACTGTGTGGACATTTATAGCAGAAGACAAACACTCCAAAAGCGTGTCCATGTCGACTCTAAATGTGGAGGGGAAAACCGGAGGACCCGGAGAAAAATCCACGCGACCACGGAGGGAGAGAGAGAGAGAGAGGCACGCAAACTCCAAATATACAGCAGCAGCAGCAGGCATCGTCAGGGTCGGGATCGAACCCAGGACCTCCTGTAGACCGGGCGAGGTAGTTAACATCTCCTAGCCACCGTGATGATGATGAGAGAGAGAGAGACGCAAACTCCAAATATACAGCAGCAGCAGGCATCGTCAGGATCGGAATCGAACCCACGACCTCCTGTACACCAGGCGAGGTAGTTAACATCTCCTAGCCACCGTGATGATGATGATGATGAGAGACACGCAAACTCTAAATATACAGCAGCAGCAGGCATCGTCAGGGACGGGATCGAACCCACGACTTCCTGCATACCAGGCGAGGTAGTCAACATCTCTGGCTGTGACATTGGGGGCCAAAGTCCACACCTGTAGCCCAGGTATTTAGTGTTTCTTTGGTAACCTCTCCCTGTCTCCATGTGTGGGTGGGTGTGTTGTTGTGTGGGTGGGTGGGTGTGTGGGTGTGTTGTTGTGTGGGTGGGTGTGTGGGTGGGTGTGTTGTTGTGTGGGTGGGTGGGTGTGTTGTTGTGTGGGCGGGTGGGTGGGTGTGTGGGTGGGGGTGTTGTTGTGTGGGTGGGTGTGTGTGTGGGTGGGTGTGTTGTTGTGTGGGTGGGTGGGTGTGTGGGTGGGTGTGTGGGTGGGTGTGTTGTTGTGTGGGTGGGTGGGTGTGTTGTTGTGTGGGTGGGTGTGTTGTTGGGTGTGTGGATCAGTGGGTGTGTTGTTGGGTGTGGGTGGGTGTGTTGTTGGGTGTGTGGGTGGGTGTTGTTGGGTGTGTTGTTGGGTGTGTGGGTGGGTGTGTTGTTGGGTGTGTGGGTGTGTGGGGGGGTGTTGTTGGGTGTGTGGGTGGGTGTATTGTTGGGTGTGTGGGTGGGTAGGTGGGGGGTTGTTGGGTGTGTGGGTGGGTGGGGGGGTTTGTGTTGTTGGGTGTGTGGGTGGGTGTGTGGGTGGGTGGGTGTGTTGTTGGGTGTGTGGGTGGGTGGTTGGGGGTGTTGTTGGGTGTGTTGTTGGGTGTGTGGATGGGTGGGTGGGTGTGTTGTTGGGTGTGTGGGTGGGTGTGTTGTTGGGTGTGTGGGTGGGTTGTTGGGTGTGTGGGTGGGTGGGTGGGGGTGTTGTTGGGTGTGTGGGTGGGTGTGTTGTTGGGTGTGTGGGTGGGTGGGCTGTTGGGTGTGTGGGTGTGTGGGTGGGTGTGTTGTTGCGTGTGTGGGTGTGTTGTTGGGTGTGTGGGTGGGTGGGCTGTTGGGTGTGTGGGTGGGTGGGCTGTTGGGTGTGTGGGTGGGTGGGCTGTTGGGTGTGTGGGTGTGTGGATGGGTGTGTTGTTGCGTGTGTGTGTGGGTGGGTGGTTTGTTGTGTGGGTGTGTGTGTGTGTGGGTGTGTTGTTGTGTGTGTGCGGGTGGGTGTGTGGGGGTGTGTGTTGTTGTGTGTGTGTTGTTGTGTGTGTAGGTGTGTGTGTGTAGGTGCTCGCTAACAGCACTTGCCCCTACAGTCTGTTAAGGCTATACGGGGGATCTTTGTCTTTGTGTGTGGGTGTCTGTGTGTGTTGCTGTGTTTGGGGAGGGGTGGTGTAGTGGTTAGCACCACGCTGCACTACGAACCCGGCGGCCCGGGTTCGTTCCCCACTCACGGCCACCAACACCACCAGTGACGATTCTCTGTATCAGTGCTGGGCCTCCCCTAGGTCGACTCGGCCTCAAATGAGTACCTGGTGCGGTGTGCGGTAAACATCGCCACTGGGGAGACAAAGGCGGCCGGGCGTGGTGCTGGTCACCCACCAGTAGCAGCCTTCATAGGTTGTGCTTCCCGATGGCAGTGATGTTCATGATGGTGACGTTGATGGTGGTGATGGTGGTGATAGTGATGATGATAGTGGTGATGACGATGATGGTGGCGATGATGGTGATGACGTTGATGGTGGTGATGGTGATGATGGTGGTGATAGTGATGATGATAGTGGTGATGACGATGATGGTGGCGATGATGATGGTGGCGATGATGATGATGGTGGTGATGGTGATGACGTGGATGGTGATGGTGATGACGTTCCTGACGTCGTCTTCGTTATTGTTGACGTTGTTATTGTTGACGTTGTTGTTGACGACGATGTTGTTGACGTTGTTATTGTCGCTGTCGTTTTTGACGTTGTTGCTTTTGACGTTGTTGTTGACGTTGTTGCTTTTGACGTTGTTGTTGACGTTGTTGACGTTGTTATTGACATTGTTGTTGACGTTATTGATGTTTTTGTTATGGTGTTGTTATTGATGTTGTTGATGTTGTTATTAACGGTGTTGTTATTGATGTTGTTGTTGATGTTGTTATTGTCGTTGTTGACGTTGTTGCTTTTGACGTTGTTGGCGATGTTGACGTTGTTATTGACATTGTTGTTGATGTTATTGATGTTTTTTATTTACGGTGTTGTTGTTGACGTTGTTATTTATGGTGTTGTTTTTGACGTTGTTGTTGTTGACGTTGATGTTGTCATTAACGGTGTTGTTGTTATTGACATTGTTGTTGATGTTGTTGATGTTGTTATTAACGGTGTTGTTATTGATGTTGTTGATGTTGTTGTTGTTATTAACGTTGATGTTGTTATTAACGGTGTTGTTGTTATTGATGTTGTAGATGTTGTTGATGTTGTTATTGACGTTGTTGTTATTGACGTTGTTGATGTTGTTGATGTTGTTATTGACGTTGTTGATGTTGTTGATGTTGTTATTGACGTTGTTGATGTTGTTGTTGATGTTGTTGATGTTGTTATTGACGTTGTTGATGTTGTTGATGTTGTTGATGTTGTTGATGTTGTTATTGACGTTGATGTTGTTGATGTTGTTATTAACGGTGTTGTTGTTATTGACGTTGTTGATGTTGTTGTTATTAATGATGTTGTTGTTATTGACGTTGTTGTTATTGATGTTGTTGATGTTGATGTTGTTATTGACGTTGTTGATGTTGTTGTTGATGTTGTTATTAACGGTGTTGTTGTTATTGACGTTGTTGATGTTGTTGTTATTAATGATGTTGTTGTTATTGACGTTGTTGATGTTGTTATTAACGGTGTTGTTGTTATTGACGTTGTTGATGTTGTTGTTATTGACGTTGTTGATGTTGTTGTTATTGACGTTGTTGATGTTGTTGTTATTGACGTTGTTGATGTTGTTGTTATTGACGTTGTTGATGTTGTTGTTATTGACGTTGTTGATGTTGTTGTTATTGACGTTGTTGATGTTGTTGTTATTGACGTTGTTGATGTTGTTGTTATTGACGTTGTTGATGTTGTTGTTATTGACGTTGTTGATGTTGTTGTTATTGACGTTGTTGATGTTGTTGTTATTGACGTTGTTATTAACGGTGTTGTTGTTATTGATGTTGTTGTTGTCGTTGTTGACGTTGTTGTTGTTGACGTTGTTGCTTTTGACGTTGTTGTTGGCGATGTTGACGTTGTTATTGACATTGTTGTTGATGTTATTGATGTTGTTTTTTACGTTGTTGTTGTTGACGTTGTTATTTATGGTGTTGTTTTTGACGTTGTTGACGTTGTTGATGTTGTTATTAATGATGTTGTTGTTATTGACGTTGTTGATGTTGTTATTAATGATGTTGTTGTTGTTATTGACGTTGTTGATGTTGTTATTAATGATGTTGTTGTTATTAACGGTGTTGGTGTTATTGACGTTGTTGATGTTGTTATTAATGATGTTGTTATTATTATTGACGTTGTTGATGTTGTTATTAATTATGTTGTTGTTATTGACGTTGTTGATGTTGTTATTAATGATGTTGTTGTTATTATTATTGACGTTGATGTTGTTATTAATGATGTTGTTGTTATTATTATTGACGTTGTTGATGTTGTTATTAACGGTGTTGTTGTTGTTATTGACGTTGTTGATGTTGTTATTAATGATGTTGTTGTTGATGTTATTGATGTTGTTATTAACGGTGTTGTTGTTATTGACGTTGTTATTGACGTTGTTGTTGTTGTTATTGACGTTGTTGATGTTGTTATTAATGATGTTGTTATTGTTGTTATTGATGTTGTTATTAACGGTGTTGTTGTTATTGACGTTGTTGATGTTGTTATTAATGATGTTGTTGTTGTTGATGTTATTGATGTTGTTATTAACGGTGTTGTTGTTATTGACGTTGTTGATGTTATTAATGATGTTGTTGTTGTTGTTATTATTAACGCTGTTGTTGTTATTGAAGTTGTTGATGTTGTTAATGTTGTTATTAACGTTGTTGATGTTGTTATTAATGATGTTGATGTTGTTATTAACGGTGTTGGTGTTATTAATGACGATGTTGTTGTTGTTATTTACGTTGTTGTCACCCCCGCCACCCCCCCGCCCAGGCAAGGCGTTCGAGTTGAGCTACGTGCGACTCCGCTTCGTCTCCAGCCGCCCCGAGAGCGTCGCGTTGTTCAAGCGGCCGCACGTCGCCAGCGTCGCCTGGCAGCCGCTCCACTACTTCAGCGCCAGCTGCGCCGCCACCTACGGCATCAAGCCGGCCACCGCCACCGCCGGCTACGACGAGGAGGAGGAGGACGAGGAGGTGCCGTCGGCGTTGTGCACCGACCAGGACAGCGACATCTCGCCGCTGACGGGCGCCAGCGTCGCGTTCAGCACGCTGGAGGGGCGGCGCGGAGCGCAACGCTTCGACCGCAGCCCTGCACTGCAGGTGGCGGTGGTGGTGGTGGCGGTGGTGGTGGTGGTTGTGGTGGTTGTGGTGGTGGTGGTGGTGGTGGTGGTTGTGGTGGTGGCGGTTGTGGTGGTTGTGGTGGTGGTGGTGGCGGTGGTGGTGGTGGCGGTGGTGGCGGTGGTGGCGGTGACGGTGGTGGTGGTGGTGGTTGTGGCGGTGACGGTGGTGGTGGTTACGCTGCACGTGGCTGGCTGTGGTCCAACAATTCTGTTGTTGTGGAGGTGGAGGAGGAGGAGGAGGGAGCAAACCTCCCCCTCGCGGTGATCCCCACGGTGACCCCCGTGATGCCCCCCCCCCTCTCCCCCCCGGGTGCAGGAGTGGGTGACGGTGACGGAGCTGCGTGTGTCCCTCGACCGACTCAACACGTTTGGGGACGAGCTCTTTGGAGACCCCTCGGTGCTGCGCTCCTACTACTACGCAGTGTCTCAGCTCGACGTGGGGGCCCGGTGAGGACCCCTAACCCCTCACCCCTAACCCCTCACCCCTCACTCCTCACCCCCTCCCCTCACTCCTCACCCCCTGCCCGCCCCTCACTCCTCACCCCCTGCCCGCCCCTCACTCCTCTACCTCACCCCCCCCCCCCCCCCAGTGGCAGCGCTGAGAAAGTAGTGCCCACCCCCCTACTCACTTTCCTACCCACCACCCACCCACTCACCCACTACCCACCCACCCCCACCCACCACCCACCCACCCCTTACTAACAGCACTTGCCTCCTACGGACTGCTGGAGGCTATACACGGCAGCGGTGGTGGTGGGCGGTGATGGTGGGTGGGTGGTGGTGGTGGGTGGTGATGGTGGGCGGCGGTGGGTGGGTGGTGGGCGATGGTGGTGGTGGGTGGTGATGGTGGTTGTGGTTGTGGGTAGTGATGGTGTGTGGGTGGTGATGGTGGGCGGTGGTGGGTGGGTGGTGATGGTGGGCGGCGGTGGGTGGGTGGTGGTGGGCGGCGGTGGGTGGGTGGTGGTGGTGGGCGGCGGTGGGTGGGTGGTGGTGGTGGGCGGCGGTGGGTGGGTGATGATGGTGGGCGGCGGTGGATAATGATGGTGGTGGGTGGTGATGATGGGTGGTGATGGTGATGGTGGGTGGTGATGTGTGGGTGATGGTGGGTGGTGATGGTGGGTGATGGTGGGTGGTGATGGTGGGTGGTGGGTGGTGATGTGTGGGTGGTGGTGGTGATGGTGGGTGGTGATGGTGGGTAGTGGTGGTGGGTGGGTGGTGATGGTGATGTGTGGGTGGTGATGTGTGGGTGGTGATGTGTGGGTGGTGATGGTGGGTGGTGATGGTGGTGGGTGGTGATGATGGGTGGTGATGGTGGGTGGTGGGTGGTGATGGTGGGTGGGTGGTGATGATGGGTGGTGATGGTGGGTGGTGGGTGGTGATGATGGGTGATGATGGGTGGTGATGATGGGTGGTGATGATGGGTGGGTGGTGGTGGGTGGTGATGGTGGGTGGTGATGGTGGTGGGTGGTGATGATGGGTGGTGATGGTGATGGTGGGTGGTGATGGTGATGGTGGGTGGTGGTGGGTAGGTGGTGATGATGGGTGGTGATGGTGGGTGGTGGGTGGTGATGATGGGTGATGATGATGGGTGGTGATGTGTGGGTGGTGATGGTGGGTGGTGATGGTGATGGTGGGTGGTGATGGTGTGTGAGTGGTGATGGTGGGTGGTGGGTGGTGATGGTGGGTGGCGATGGTGGTGGGTGGTGGGTGGTGGGCGGCGGTGGGCGATGGTGGTGATGTGTGGGTGGTGATGTGTGGGTGGTGATGGTGATGTGTGGGTGGTGATGTGTGGGTGGTGATGGTGGGTGGTGATGATGGTGACGTGATCTTCGCCTTGCCCCTCGTGTGTCCCACCCACCCACCCCCCGACCCCCAGCTGCAAGTGTAACGGTCACGGCGACTCGTGCGTGTGGCGTGACCGCCGCCTGGTGTGCAGCTGCCACCACCACACGGAGGGCGACGACTGCGAGCGCTGCGCCCCCACGCACCACGGCCGCCCCTGGGCACGCGCCACGGCAAGCAACGCACACGAGTGCCTGCGTGAGTGGGCACACACACACACACACACCCCGACTTGCACACACACACACACACACCTCGACCTGTACACACACACACACACACCCCGACATACACACACACACACACACCTTCACACACACACACACCCCCACCTGTACACACACACACACACACCCCGACATGCACACACACACACACACCTGTACACACACACACCTCGACCTGTACACACACACACACCTCGACATGCACACACACACACACACCCCGACATGCACACACACACACACCTGTACACACACACCCCGACCTGCACACACACACACACCCCGACATGCACACACACACACACACACCCCGACATGCACACACACACACACCCCGACCTGCGCACACACACACACCTGCACACACACACACACCCCGACATGCACACACACACCCCGACATGCACACACACACACACACCCCGACATGCACACACACACACACACCCCGACATGCACACACACACACACACCCCGACCTGCACACACACACACACCTGTACACACACCCCGACATGCACACACACACACACACACCCCGACATGCACACACACACACCGACATGCACACACACACACACACCTGTACACACACACACCTCGACCTGCACACACACACACACCCCGACATGCACACACACACACCGACATGCACACACACACACACCTGTACACACACACACCTCGACCTGCACACACACACACACCCCGACCTGCACACACACACACCTGTACACACACACACACACCCCGACCTGCACACACACACACCTGTACACACACACACCTCGACATGCACACACACACACACACACCTCGACATGCACACACACACACACACCCCACCTGCACACACACACACCCCGACATGCACACACACACACACACACCCCGACATGCACACACACACACACCCCGACATGCACACACACACACACCCCCACCTGCACACACACACACCCCGACCTGCACACACACACACCCCGACATGCACACACACACACACCCCGACATGCACACACACACACACACACACCCCGACATGCACACACACACACACCCCGACATGCACACACACACACACCCCCACCTGCACACACACACACCCCGACCTGCACACACACACACCCCGACATGCACACACACACACACCCCACACCTGCACACACACACACACACACCCCGACATGCACACACACGCACCCCCACCTGCACACACACACACACACACCCCGACCTGCACACACACACACCCCCACCTGTACACACACACCCCCACCTGTACACACACACACCCCCACCTGTACACACACACACCCCCACCTGTACACACACACACCCCGACATGCACACACACACACCCACACCTGCACACACACACACCCACACCTGCACACACACACCCCGACCTGCACACACCCCGACCTGCACACACCCCGACCTGCACACACCCCCGCACAGAGACCCATAGACTCACACAGAGACTCATAGACTCACACAGAGACCCATAGACTCGCATAGAGACCCACAGACTCACCACACAGAGACCCATAGACTAACACAGAGATCCATAGACTCGCATAGACTCGCATAGAGACCCATAGACTCACACAGAGACCCATAGACTCACACAGAGACTCATCACACAGAGACCCATAGACTCACACAGAGACCCATAGACTCGCATAGACTCACATAGACTCACACAGAGACCCATAGACTCACACAGAGACCCATAGGCTCGCACAGAGACCCATAGACTCGCACAGAGACCCATAGACTCACACAGAGACCAATAGGCTCACACAGAGACCCACAGACTCACCACACAGAGGCCCACAGACTCACACAGAGACCCATAGACTCACACAGAGACCCATAGACTCGCACAGAGACCCATAGGCTCGCACAGAGACCCATAGACTCGCACAGAGACCCATAGACTCGCACAGAGACCCATAGGCTCACACAGAGACCCATAGGCTCACACAGAGACCCATAGACTAACCACACAGAGGCCCACAGACTCGCATAGAGACCCAAAAACTCACACAGCCTGGCTACCAAGCCCCCCTCCACCCCCTTCTCCCCCACCCCGTGGACACCTGCGCAGTTGCACCGCCTGCACTCCCTCCCCCTCCCCCACCACCCCTACCACCCCCCCCACCGCCCCTCCCCCCACCACCCCTCCCCCCACTCTGTGGGCCTGGCCCAGCACCTGCCCCGGGTTCCTAAGGAAGTGGTGCGCTTTGTGATGTTGTTGATGTTGTTGATGTTGTTGTCGATGTTCTTATTGATCTTGTTGTTGATGTTGTTGATGATGTTGTTGATGTTGTTATTGTTGATGTTGTTGTTGATCTTGATGTTGTTATTGTTGATGTTGTTGTTGATCTTGATGTTGATGTTGTTGATCTTGTTGTTGATGTTGATGATCTTGTTGTTGATGTTGATGTTGTTGATGATCTTGTTGATGTTGATGATCTTGTTGATGTTGATGATCTTGTTGATGTTGATCTTGTTGATGTTGTTGTTGATGTTGATCTTGTTGATGTTGTTGATGATCTTGTTGATGTTGTGGTTGATGTTGTTGTTGTTGATGATGTTGTTGATGTTGTTGTTGTTAATGTTGATGATGTTGATGTTGTTGATATTGTTGATGATCTTGTTGATGTTGATGATCTTGTTAATGTTGTTGTTGATGATCTTGTTAATGTTGTTGTTGATGATCTTGTTAATGTTGTTGTTGATGATCTTGTTAATGTTGTTGTTGATGATCTTGTTAATGTTGTTGTTAATGTTGATGATGTTGTTGATGTTGTTAATGTTGTTGTTCATGTTTTTGATGTTGTTTACTCGTGGGGATGTTTGGGTTCTGAGAGGACAAAGGAGGTGGCGGCATTTGTAGCTGTGTATCTGTGTGTGTGTAGCTGTGTGTGTGTGTAGCTGTGTGTGTGTGTAGCTGTGTGTGTGTGTAGCTGTGTGTGTGTGTAGCTGTGTGTAGCTGTGTGTGTGTGTCTGTGTGTGTGTGTAGCTGTGTGTGTGTGTAGCTGTGTGTAGCTGTGTGTGTGTGTGTAGCTGTGTGTGTGTGTAGCTGTGTGTGTGTGTAACTGTGTGTGTGTGTAGCTGTGTGTGTGTGTAGCTGTGTGTAGCTGTGTGTGTGTGTAGCTGTGTGTGTGTGTAACTGTGTGTGTGTGTAGCTGTGTGTGTGTAGCTGTGTGTGTGTGTGTGTGTATCTGTGTGTGTGTGTAACTGTGTGTGTGTGTAGCTGTGTGTGTGTAGCTGTGTGTGTGTAGCTGTGTGTGTGCAGCTGTGGGTGTAGCTGTGTGTAGTTGTGTGTGTGTAGCTGTGTGTGTGTGTAGCTGTGTGTGTGTAGCTGTGTGTGTGTAGCTGTGTGTGTGCAGCTGTGGGTGTAGCTGTGTGTAGTTGTGTGTGTGTGTGTAGCTGTGTGTGTGTGTAGCTGTGTGTGTGTGTAGCTGTGTGTGTGTGTATCTGTGTGTGTGTGTAACTGTGTGTGTGCGTAGCTGTGTGTGTGTAGCTGTGTGTGTGTAGCTGTGTGTGTGCAGCTGTGGGTGTAGCTGTGTGTAGTTGTGTGTGTGTGTGTAGCTGTGTGTGTGTGTAGCTGTGTGTGTGCAGCTGTGGGTGTAGCTGTGTGTAGTTGTGTGTGTGTGTAGCTGTGTGTGTGTAGCTGTGTGTGTGCAGCTGTGGGTGTAGCTGTGTGTAGCTGTGTGTGTGTGTGCAGCTGTGGGTGTAGCTGTGTGTGTGTGTAGCTGTGTGTGTGCAGCTGTGGGTGTAGCTGTGTGTGTGTGTGTAGCTGTGTGTGTGTAGCTGTGTGTGTGTAGCTGTGTGTGTGCAGCTGTGGGTGTAGCTGTGTGTAGCTGTGTGTGTGTGTAGCTGTGTGTGTGTAGCTGTGTGTGTGCAGCTGTGTGTGTAGCTGTGTGTAGCTGTGTGTGTGTGTAGCTGTGTGTGTAGCTGTGTGTGTGTGTAGCTGTGTGTGTAGCTGTGTGTGTGTGTAGCTGTGTGTGTAGCTGTGTGTGTGTGTGTAGCTGTGTGTGTGTGTGTAGCTGTGTGTGTGTGTGTAGCTGTGTGTGTGTAGCTGTGTGTGTGTGTAGCTGTGTGTGTAGCTGTGTGTGTGTGTAGCTGTGCGCATATGTAGCTGTGTGTGTAGCTGTGTGTGTGTGTAGCTGTGCGTGTAGCTGTGCGTGTGTAGCTGTGTATAGCTGTGTGTGTAGCTGTGTGTGTGATTCATACCGAGTGAGCTTCATGCCAAAACGACGCCGTCTCTTACCCACCCCCCCCCCCCCCCCTGTACTCCCCCCACCCCACCGTGACCTCCCCCGTGACCTCCCCCGTGACCTCCCCCGTGACCTCCCCCTCCCTCCCTCCCCCCAGCGTGCGAGTGCCAGGGCCTGGCCGCCCGCTGCGAGTTCGACCCGGAGCTGTTTGCCCGCACCGGGCACGGGGGCCGCTGCATGGGCTGCGTGGGCAACACGGCGGGCGCCCGCTGTGAGCTGTGTGCCCCGCGGCATCACCGGGCACCGCGCTCGCAGGGGCCCTGCAGGCCCTGCCGGTGTCACCCGCTCGGTGCGCCGACTCGCTAACACCGACGCTACCGACGCCGCCCTACCGCACCACCCCCACGCTACCAACGCCACCACCACCACCACCAGCCTACGACACCACCACCCTACCACCACCACCCCCTACCACCACCACCCTACCACACCACCCTACCACACCACCCTACCACACCACCCTACCACCACCAACCACCACGCTCCCACACCACCGCCACGCTACCAACGCCACCACCACCACGCTACCACACCACCACCACCACCACCCTAACACACCACCACCACCACTACCCTACCACACCACCACCCTACCCCACCACCACCACCCTACCACACAACCCTACCACCATCAACCACCACCCTACCACACCACCGCCACACTACCAACGCCACCACCACCACCCTACCCCACCACCACCACCCTAACACACACCACCACCCTACCCCACCACCACCCTACCCCACCGCCACCAGCCTACCACACCACCCTACCACCACCAACCACCACCCTACCACACCACCGCCACGCTACCACGCTACCACACCTTGCCACCACCTCCACGCTAACACACCATCACCACCACCCTACCACACCACCACACCACACCACCACCCTACCCCACCACCACCACCGCCCTACCCCACCACCACTACCCTACCACACCACCGCCACCACCACCAGCCACCACCCTCCCACACCACCCCAACACACCCCACTACCACCCTACCACACCCCCACCACCCTACCACACCACCCTACCATACCACTCCACCACCACCACCTCACCTCACCATCACACTCCACCACCACCCCACCCACACTCCACCACCAACTCAATGGGCTATTCGATCGTCAGCTGTTCAATGAGATGTTCAATCAGCTGTTAAAGCCGTTCAGATAGCTGTTAAATCAGCTGATTCATCAGCTGTTCAGTCGGCTGTCAAAGCCGTTCAGTCAGCTGCTTAATCAGCTGTTGAGTCAGCTGTTATGAAGCCATTCAGATAGCTGTTAAATCAGCTGCTCAATCAGCCGTTCAGTCAGCTGTTAAAGCCGTTCAATCAGCTGTTCAATCAGCTGTTCAATCAGCTGTTAAAGCAGCTGTTCAATCAGCTGTTAAAGCAGCTGTTCAATCGGCTGTTCAATCGGCTGTTCAATCAGCTGTTCAATCAGCTGTTCAATCAGCTGTTAAAGCAGCTGTTCAATCAGCTGTTCAATCAGCTGTTCAATCAGCTGTTAAAGCAGCTGTTAAAGCAGCTGTTAAAGCAGCTGTTAAAGCAGCTGTTAAAGCAGCTGTTAAAGCAGATGTTAAAGCAGATGTTAAAGCAGCTGTTAAAGCAGCTGTTAAAGCAGCTGTTAAAGCAGCTGTTAAATCAGCTGTTAAATCAGCTGATTCATCAGCTGTTCAATCAGCTGTTCAGTCAGCTGGTCAATCAGCTGTTTAAGCCGTTCAGATAGCTGTTCAATCAGCTCTTCAATCAGCCGTTCAGTCAGCTGTTTAAGCCGTTCAGATAGCTGTTCAATCAGCTGGTCAATCAGCTGGTCAATCAGCCGTTCAGATAGTTGTTCAATCAGCTGTTCAGTCAGCTGTTCAATCAGCTGATTAATCAGCTGTTGAAGCCATTCAGTCACCTGTTCAGTCAGCTGTTAAGTCAGCTGTTCAGTCAGCTGTTCAGTCAGCTGTTAAGTCAGCTATTCAGTGAGCTCTTAAAACTGTTCAGTCATCAGTTCAGTCAGCTGTTCAGTCAGCTGTTAAGTCAGCTGTTGAAGCCATTAAGTCATCAGTTCAGTCAGCTGTTAAGTCAGCTGTTGAAGCCATTTAGTCATCAGTTCAGTCAGCTGTTCAGTGAGCTCTTAAAACTGTTAAGTCATCAGTTCAGTCAGCTGTTAAGTCAGCTGTTAAGTCATCAGTTCAGTCAGCTGTTGAAGCCATTCAGTCAGCTCTTAAGTGAGCCGCTCAATCAGCCGTTCAGTCAGCTGTTCAAACAGCTGTTGAATCAGCTGCTCGTCCAGCCGGTTCCGTCCGCTGTTCAATCGGAAGTGTGTAAAAAGCACATTTTGAAATCGGCCCTCAAAGCAGCTGCTTGAGTCTCTCAGCTGTTTGTGTCGGCCACCTCAATCAGCTGTTTAATATCAGCCGCTCAACCTGTTCACTCACTCACCTGTCCAGTTCAGCCGCCCGCTATTCACCCGCTCACCTGTCCACCCACTCACCTGTGGATTCTTTTCACCTGTGCATGGGGGAGTGGGGAGTGGTGGCGCCGTGGTTAGGGTGCTGCGCTACGAAACCCGCTGGAACAGAACTTTTTGATTCCAGCCGGCGACCAATTCCCAAGCGGCGTGCAATCCGAACTTGTCCCGATGATCTCGCCTAGGTTGACTCTGCCTGAAGTAAAGGGGCCGTCCATAAATGACGTCACGCACCTAGAGGGGGGTGGGTTGGAGAGGGGGGGGGGGGTCAGACATTTGTGACGATGTGTGACGAGAGGGTAGTTGGGGGGGAGGGGTGAGAAATGTGACGTCACGTAAAAAATGCGCAACTTTATAAATAAATTTAGACAACACGTTCTTCTTAATTAAATAGACTTTGGGATAAATGTTTTCTACCTACAACATCAGAGTGCAGCGCCACATTAAATACGCACTACTACAATGACAATAGTTTAAAGCGATTTGAAGCATGTTTTATATATTTTTGGGGGGGGGGGGGGAGGCAGAGCTTTGTGACGTCATATCTGAGGGGTGGGGGGGTCTGATGATTGGGAGGGGGGGTCAAAAATCGTCCACAATCGCGTGACGTCATTTATGGGCGACCCTTTTAGGCGGTGGCGCGCGTGGTGCAGACACAAGACCCCCCCACTCCCCTCGTGAGTTGTGGCAGCCTCAATAGGCGCTGTTCGATATTGACGGCACTTGTCACGACAGTCTGTTGAGGCTATACGGGGGGGGGTGGTGAAGCTTTGTCTTTGTGCGTGTGTGTGTGAGTGGGAGGGAGGGAGATTGGGTGAGTGTGTGGGTGTGTGGGTGGGTCTGTGTGTGGGTGGGTGGTTGAGTGTGTGTGTAGGTGGGTGGGTGGGTGAGTGTGTGGGTGGGTGTGTGTGTGGGTGGGTGGGTGTGTGTGTGGGTGGGTGGGTGAGCGTGTAGGTGGGTGGGTGAGCGTGTAGGTGGGTGGGTGAGCGTGTGGGTGGGTGAGTGTGCGTGTGGGTGGGTGAGTGTGTGTGTGGGTGGGTGAGTGTGTAGGTGGGTGTGTGGGGTGGGTGAGTGTGTAGGTGGGTGTGCGTGTGGGTGGGTGAGTGTGTGTGTGGTGAGTGTGTGGGTGGGAGGGAGGGAGATTGTGTGAGTGGGTGATGGTGTGAGTGGGTGAGTGTGTAGGTGTGTGGGTGAGTGTGTGTGGGTGGGTGAGTGTGTGGGTGAGTGTGTGGGTGGGTGGGTGAGTGTGTGTGTGGGTGTGTGTGTGGGTGGGTGGGTGAGTGTGTGGGTGGGTGGT